CGCTAATTTCCTATTTAAGATTTTAAAAAACTGTCTTTATATACCTTGCCTGATTCAAAAAAATAATCTACATGTCATAATCAAATGTTGAGGATAAACGAATTAGACACACATGTACCTGTTGAAGATTGCCTTGAGAACTTGCTATATCATTTGTTTTGTCAGAAGAGACGTTCGAGAATATACTTCTAGTAGAGTTGATGTCAATATCCAACAAAGTTGTCTGAAAGCTTCCTTCGGATTCAGTAGCATGTGGGAGATTTGACATTTCTCCACTAAGAAATCCAACTTCAATAACTTCATTTGATTCTGCATCTGAAACAGTTCTTAGAGTCCGACATATTCTCTGCATCGTGCCCGAGAGACTGTCCAGCAAAAGTTGTTGTTCTGAGCTTCCCTTCATACTTACAGGTAAGAAAAACTCAAGTACATAATCATTATTGCCGGTGAACGTGCTCCTCAGTTTGGTAGCAACTGCAGCATTCAGACCAAACTTTCGAGCATGTTGAACGAGAGGGTACTCACAGATATCAAATGTCTTTACATCGGATGAGAAAGACGGTTTGTTTGATATCAATGTTTTGCCAACAATTCCTTGCCCTTCTCTCAAATAATGCTCCAAACATGCATTCACAAATCCTTCCATTTCCATATCATTCACATAACATGATGTCTCTTCTAGGCAAAGAAGAGAACTTTCCTCTGATTTTTTTCCATAAACTTTTACCAACTCATCGTTCGCTCCCTTTGAGTAACTACATGGAATCCAAGCTAGAGCTAAAGGCAAGCTATGTGCATGACACACTGCTCGGAGAACATCTCTTATTTCAGCCAAAGCTTCTTTTTGATTACCCGAAAGATACTGAAAAACAAAGACACTATTAGATTGAGGCACACAAACAAAAACAAAAAACAAGAAAGAGACCCTTTTTTTTTTTATTCAGAAGTACCTGACGACGAGGAATAGTTGATGTTTGTAAGTTCACGGCCTGACAAACATAAAGACAAATCTTTATCAAATAATGACATGAGAGAAGATTAACTAGGTTGAGTGTAAGAAAATACAGAGATATTCATATATATTGGGAGCAAACAAAACAGATATCCTCCAAATCACACTTGTAAAACATTTCATTTCCTCCTAGTAATGCAACTAGATAAGTTATGTCCTAATGAGACTAGATATAAGGAAGAAACTGAAACAGGGGAAATCAAATACCTCAAGAGCTCGGCAAACAGAGTCCATCTCCACATCAAAATTAGGTTTTTCCCTACATGTCACAAGTTCCAGAACAGCGCAGCAAGATGTACCAGATGCTTCAAGAACAGGAATAGCAATCGAACCACGAACTTCGTTATCTATTGCATGCTTCATGCGTAGATACTCAGCGGTCTTGTAATACGTCACGTTTGATGTCCACTCAGGAACTCCAGAGATAAAAACTCTACCTGGAAGACCTGGATAAGAGCCTTGATTCGCTTCCGCAGCGAACGTGTACTTCCTTGACACTTCACGGTATCCGGATAGCCTAGAGTCAAGCAGGTATGCCTGATCACAAGTACTAAGCATGAACTGATCTCCGGTCTTAATCGGAGTCCAAAACTGAGCCAAAATTCCCTCTCCAGAGAACTCCATAAATAAACCTAACGCCTTAAGCATCCTCTCATCAAGTGAGTAACTCAATGACCTTGGAATAACACTACAGTCTATTGCACCGGAGAAACTATTCTTCTGATCATTACCCTTACTTCGTTTACCACTTATCTTTTCAGCATCAGATAAGCAATAAAACTGAGAGCTTATCTCCTGAACCGGTCTCTTTTCGCCAACGTAAGAGCCTCCTTCTAAACCTCCAAAAGGCTGAGAATTCGATAAGCCGTATTGAGTGAACAAGATATCTGAAGCAGAAGGGGTATTATTGCACCATGAAGCAAAATATTCGAAATTCATAAGCTCAGAAGTTGAAGAGCTAAACATA